AAAAGAGTTGTATGAGCCCCTAATAAAACGATTAAAAAAAAAAAAGAATAGCTCTCCCTTTCCCCTCCCCTCCCAACCCCGCCCATAGTCATGGAGTTGATTCTGACTCATAGTGAGCCTACAGGACAGAGGAACCAGCCACCCGCAGAGTTTCTGAGGCTGTAAATCTTTATGGAAGCAGACTCCTCATCTTTCTCCCGTGAAGCCGGACTGGTGGGGTTGAACCGCTGGCCACCCCAGGCCCCATGAAGAAACTTCAGTCTCCATACATTCACTATTCTCGTTAATCCATACAAGTGAGATGGCACGTTATAATCCCTGGGTGGTGGACTGATTTCACTCAGCATGTTTCCTGGGCCCATCCGTGTGGTGATGCCTATCAGCATTTCATATCTCCTGACGGGGGAGTGGTGTCCCTTTGCCTGTACACGCCGGCCACACTGTGTTTCTCCATTGCCTGTTGATGGACATTTCGGTTACTTCCCCCTTTGGGCTGTGAGTGGTGCCCCAGTGGACCCTGGGGCACGTGAATGGCACTTACTCTGTTCTGCTTCGGGTTCTGCAGGACTTGTCTTACAAGGACCGGCACTGGCACGAGACCTGTTTCCACTGCTCCCAGTGCAAGAACTCGCTGGTGGACAAGCCCTTTGCTGCCAAGGAAGATCAGCTGCTGTGTACAGAATGCTACTCCAACGAGTACTCGTCCAAGTGCCACGAATGCAGGAAGACCATCATGCCAGGTCAGAGCATGCCCCTTTCTCCGCCCCCGCCGCAGGACCATCAGAGAGCCATGCTTCACGGTGCCCACCCTGTCCTCCCCTCCTCCCAGCACGCTGCCTCTGCTCAAGTGCCCTCGCGTGCAGGGGCTTTGTTCCCGACACACCTGGTGATGCCCCAGTCCTGTCTGGACAGTGCTTAAAGACGCACTGCTGGGTTGGGATGGATCCCTGGATCTTTCTGCCGTGTGTGTGTGTGTGTGTGTGTGTGTGTGTGTGTGTGTGTGATCGTAGCTACCCAATGGTGGGGACTCCTCCTAAAATATACTTCCCTTGCCAGCCTCCACCCTCTCACCAACTGTGATGTTGTCATTAGGTGCCAACTGGTCAGTTATCACCCATAGTGACCCGACACATGACAGAATGGAACACTGCGTGGTCCTTCTCCATCCTTATCCTTGTTCCCATGCCTGAGCCCTTTGTGCAGCCAGGATTTCGGTCCATCTCCTTAAGCGCCTTCCTCTTTTTCTCTGCCCCTCCACTTGACCAAGCAGGATGTACTTCTCCAGGCACTGACCTCTTCTGACAATATGTCCGAAGTATGTAAGACAAAGTCTTGCCATCCTTGCTTCTAAGGAGCACTCTGGCCCTACTTCTTCCCCCACAACTCGGCTTGTTTTTAGCAGTCCATGGTACTGTCCGTATTCTTCTCCAGCCCCACAGTTTCAGTGCATCGGCTCTTCCTCCCTCAGTGCCCAGCTGTCCCATGCAGATGAGGTCGTGGGAAACATGGTGACTTAGGTCTGGCACACCTGAGTCCTCATGTTTTCAAGAGGTCTTGTGCAGCAGATTGACCTCATGCAACACATCTTTTGATCTCTTGACTCTCTATGAGCATTGATTCTGGACCCAAGCAAGATAAAATCCTCACCAACTATGATCTCTCTCTCTCTCTCTCTCTTTTTCTCTCTCTCTCTCTTTTCCTCTCTCTCTCTTATTTTTCCCCAGCTTTAGAACATTTTCTTCATTCTTGTATTAATCTTTATTAGCTCCCTATTTCCTCCCAACTTCCCCTGCCATATCCCAACGGAACCATTAATCCAGTTCCTGTCTCTATTGATTTACCTATTCTGGATTTCATATGCAGAAAAACATTAAAAAACGAACAAGAATAACAAAGTAAAACAGATTAAAAAAGCCTCAACTGAAAAGAAAACAAAATATTAAAAACAAGAATAAATTAAGTGGATGATAAGGGAGATCAAATGATAGGGTGTTAAATTTTAGCTTATCTGCATCTGCCACAATCCACTTTCCGGTGCATTCTGGAAAGGCTGTTCCCGCCCTAGCCCATGGTCAGAGGGGATTCACCAGGGGCTCGATCCCCTTCACTTTTTCAAAAACTGGAACAGCTTTAAAATGGGCCAAAGGGACATAAAATGACAAGATTTTGACCTAACTACATCTGCCATAATCAATAATGCTCTTTGTCTGATAACAGTGCTATTCACATCCTTGAACTATGACTGGAAGGGATTTGCTGGAGGCTTAATCCATGTGTGGACCCTGCAAATGGATTTGGGGCTTCTACTGTTGTCCACAGCCATCTGCAAACCCCCTCCCCCTAAAAAAACCAAAACAAAACATCGAGTCGTTGCCGACTCAGAGAGACCTCCTAGGACAGTGGAGAACTGGCCCTGTGGGTTTCCAAGATTGTAACTATTTGTAAGAGTAAAAATCCCTGTCTTTCTCCTTCAGAGTTGAATTGCTGACTTTGGGGATCCCAGCCTAACTTGTAACCACCAGGCCCACTGTGGAAACCAGGTGTTCCAATTTAAGTTCTGATAACCATTCCCTCCTTTAAATTTGGATTAGATTATCTCCAATCCTTGGCTCGCACAGGCCGGTGTGCTTCCTTCACACCGTCTTAGTTGATGCCTCACTTAAATGGTTTTTTGTTTGAAGCAAGCCTTTGAAACCCTAGACACTATTCTTTCCAATAGCCAGGCTCCTTCTAGTCTTGGCTTTCTCTTTTCTCCGTTCCTCCTGACTGGATTTGTATTCATTCCATTGTTTCAACAAATAGGCCTTATGCCCTTCTAGGTATGTGCCAGCTACTGTGCTAGGAGCTGGGCATGCAAAATGTTATGAGCCTGGAGGGTCCCCCGGCCCTGTCCCCTCATGGGGCCTGCGTCCCTACTACATGGGTGGTGTGGACTGGGTCAGTTGTGCCGGGTGGTGACACGGTGACTTGCTTATTGAAGAGGGAGAGGGCAGCTCCTGCGCTTTGATGTGATGTCCGTGGGGGGTTGTATCGTGTTGTAGGAGGACTGAATCTTTCATTTGAAAATGTTAAGGGGAAAATACACTGAATACACATTTAAAAAAATTCTTGTTAGAGCCACGTAACTTTGAAACGATGGCAGGGGAGAGGAACCAGATCAAGATGAGACCAAATAAGCTTTTGACCCTGGACCCCTGAGAGGGGATGAGGTAGGCATTGACTGCAGCAAGTGTGGAAGCCATGTAAGATCAGCGATGCCTTTTACGTGCCCAAAGAACAGGTGGCCAGACAGTAAACTTGGCAGATTTTACAAATGAAATAGAGGAGGGCCATTTAAAATTGAATTTCAGATAAGCAATGGCCGCGGGTGGCACCACCAGGAATGTCCTCGATTACCTGCTGAACGGTGGCGGCTCTGGCCCTTCTGGAGGTGCTACAGAAGACCAAAAGGCCCCTGCAGCTGTACCTGGACACATGGGGTCACCATGACTCAGAATTGACTCAGCGTCAGATAGCAGTAACAGGCTGCCCATTCACAATTGGCATATCTCCCTGTGGATGACACAAAGCCAGGGCTCTCTCTCCACTGGAATATTGTTTGTAGCTGCGCCCCTCACAGAAAGCCGAATCTGAGAGAAACTGTAAATAGACCACTTGAGTCCAATTAAGTGGGGGAGGCAAGCTGGGGTAGGGGGTAGACTCTGTGATTTAAGACAGAGACTTAAGGAGCTGGACCTTAGAACTAAAGCCCGTGGGATCTGCGGCCTCGTTTTGTGGGCCCTGGCAGGAATCAGGCTCAGATTGGCAGCGGGGGCAAGGTTCTAGGCAACCACGAGGTCAGAGGTCTTCTCACTACTGAGCAACATAATACAGCTCAAATGCTCCTGATAGTACCCTCGAAGGGCAGGTAAGCATCCTGTGACCAGACAGGTTTAGAATTGAGCACAGATGTATAAAAAGGCCAAACCCCATTGTGTTAAGTGATATGAGCACATTTGGTACAGTATTTATGCTGTTTAAAGAACATTTGTTCCGTTACAGCAGACAGACTGAGGTGGGATGCGCAATTGACTAAGTGATTTGGGCTAAATTTCCTTTGAAATTTTCTTAATTTATAGGTTATTTCAACATCTAAGATAGCTTCTGACTCCTTCCCCATATATAGCTGGAGGCCGGGGCCAAAAGTACAGAGGAGGGACCAGGGAGTTGGGAAGGAGGGCTAGGGAAGGTCCCATTTCAGCCGGCTTGAGAAAGAAGCTGGATTTCACACCAGCAGCTGCATACATAGGGCGAGGTGGGCGTGGGAGGAGCGGAGGTGGAAGACTGGCCATCTGCCCCATCCAGGTGACATTCTAGAAACCCTTATCTGTCACATGGGCTCCCTGAGAGCCGGAGTGCACTCTAAGTCCCCCAGGAAAAAACCGGAGTGGAACAACACTCCGCAGGGTTTCCAGTGGCTGGTTTGGGGGTGGAAATGCTCCCCAGCCCTTTCTTCTGGGGCACCTCTCAGCAGACTGGAACCTCCAACCTTTGTGTTAGCAGCTGAGCACCTTGCCAGTTGCAGCACCCTGGGACTGGGCAGCTGATCGCGGAGGCAGAAAGGAGCCCTTTGTGAAGAGGAAGTGGCTTGCGCACCACAGGCAGGGTGGCTAGAGACAGCCTGGTGTGTGAAAACCACGTCGAAAAAGCCCACGCTCAGCAGGCGGTCCGAGTTCATAGCACTTGCTTGTTGTGGTTTGTTTTTAGAAGTGGTGTCACCAGTTCCAGATGGAAAGCTCCCCCGAGCATCGGTGCAGCGTGCACCCCGGGGAAAACTTGCCACTGGCCCCCAAGCCCCACACAAGCCTGTTTCTTCAGGAAGTTGGTGTGGAATCACAAACCACGGGTCACTTTGCTTCCTTCAAACTCTTGAGTCCCCTTGGCAGAGATTTCTCTTTTTCCTTTCTTTCTTTTTTTTTAAAACATATATACTACAGACTTCTTAGCAGACTTCAGGAAGGACACAGTCATCCTGCCCTGCAGTTTGTACTTCCTCATTAGTTTATTTGGATTAAGAAAAGGCTCACCTTCCATCTTGCTGGAAAATTAGAAGGGGCAGGTTCTGCGAGAAGGAGGCGCTGTACTGCCACCTGCTGGAGAGATTTGACAGGCTGCACAGCTCTAGCCCTTATGGCACAGTGGTTAGGGGTTTGGCTGCTGACCAGTGAGTGGATGGGAGTTCTGACCCAGGAGCCACTTGGCTGCTGTATAGGTTAACGTCTGGGGAGCCATCTGGGGCAGACAGAATTGACCCCACGGTACACAAGAGCACAGCAATGGGAGACTCTAGGTCCCTGGGTAGTGCAGCCACTGAAGCGCTTGTTAACCGTCCCCAAATTTGGCAGTGTGAGCCCATACAAAGCCCCCTGGGAAAACAGGCCTACTGATCTGCTTCCCAGGAGGTCCTGGCCTTGAAGACCCTCTGCACACAGCATCACCCTAAGTCGAAATCCTCTCGGTGGGTAACTGAGTTAGTTAATTGTGCCAGCCTGGCCGATAATCACATGCGGTGCTGGTTGAAAGGCGGAGGGATAAATGGGTGGTGAAGCCTCGCCTTTCTAGCTCTCGGGTCTCTTGTTTTGTGATGGTTGCAT